ATGAGATTCTTCCTCTCCGCTCACAGGAGCCCAGCCCCCAGGAGTTGTTGGTCATTTCTGGTGAAATACTGAGGGCCAGTCTTTCAGTCTGCAATGGAAGACAGTCTCGGGGCCTCTGCTCACCCTCTGTGAGCTCTCGCCTGCCTCAGGGTCTCGGGGTCTGACGACAATCACTTGTAGGGAGGGAGGGTCTGCGTTAGCCTGTTTTCACTTTGGCTGTGGGAGTGGAATCAGGCCTTTGGAAAGAGCCCTCTTTTCTCCTGAGCCCCTTGTCCTCTTAGGTGTGAAGACTGTTGGAGCTCTTGCTTGTCTAGTCCCCGGCTACAGAGTAAAGGGTATAGAACCTGACGAAGCCCCGGGACTTCAAAGAATATGCTTAGCTCTTCTGTGGCCAAGGTTACTGAGGCATCTCGTCTACAAATAAGTTCAGCCCGTTTTCTCCGGAGTGAGGAGTGTGTGTGTGTGTGTGTGTTTAGGGTAGGTGGGGGTGGAGATGCAGATGGCAGCAGAGGGCACCAATTAAACCCCCGTTCACATGAACTGAACCACAGACTGAACCACAACAGGATTGCGTGGCACCCAGAACACTGTTCGCTTTGCTCATTCAAACGCTGGCCACCCTTTGCGGATTATCTCTTACGGACAACTTGCAACTCGTGTATACCTATTTGTCACTTGTGTGAATCAAAAGGTACGATTATGCTCCTCAAGCAGGAAGTTTTCCCAGTTCTTCCAATTCAAGAACATTAACAATGGTACCCAGAAGTCAGAAGTCGGGCTGGCCCTTAGGCAATCTGGGGTTTACAGTTATTCGAAAATTAATTCTCTTTCCTGAACGAAGCTCTGAGATGGAGATGTCAAACCAACAGCAAAGAGCGAAATTGAACGGGAGCATGTATGCGGTTTACCTTCTAGGCCCTTTGCAGCTCGTTCTGGGGCTTCTTCTGGCAATCCACCTGGCCTTTCTAGAGATGCTGAGATGGGGATTCTTTTTGCCAATCAAAAAGAGCATGGTGACGGTGTAAGATAGACCCCCAAGTCATCTTAAGCAATGCTCTTCCAAAGCAGGCCTTTGGAATGGGTCTATCTTTTTCTCCTCAGCCTTTTTTTTTTAAAGGTGTGAAGGATTTCCTTGTGCTAGTGGCCCAAGACCTCTTACCCTCCTAGTCACTTGGCTTCAGATTGGGGGGGGGGGGAGGTATAGAACTCGCAACTAGGAACCTGACTGGTCCCCAAGCCTTTCCAGACAACACCTAGCTTCCTGCGGCCAAGGCCACTAAAGGAGTCTGGTCTGAGAATCTTTTCAGCCCCAGTTTGCTCAGAAGTGATGCCTGTGTGTGTGTGCATTTGGGGGTGGGGGTGGGGGGTGGAATGCAAATGACAGCCAAGAGTACCAATTAAATAGCAACAAAGGAACCCTGACAGAGCAAACCACAAAAATACCAATTCCCTTCTCCCGGGTGTCGTGAAAACCCCAACAGGTTAATTGATCAATTATCTTTGTTTCATCATCCTATAAAGAAAATTATGACCACGAAGGTATGGCTTGTGGCTATGAGGTTGATCCAAGCTGAGGAAGTTATGATAGAAATAACTGCTATCACCAACAATGAGCTCGGCTCCTGCTTCCGAGGCCACAAGGGGGGTTTGTGCATGTCGTGGACATTATTTCATGGACGCTGGGTTCATCGTTAAGAAGTACGAGGCTCGTGGGATGTTTCAGCCTTTGCACTGGTAACTCTAGGGGAATGGGTGGCTTCCATAGCCAGCAGGGGTCCAAGGGGCCCATTCCCACAGGATCTGGGCTGACACGCACCACTGCCTCCCTCTTCCTTCCCTGCCTGCTAACTCTCTAACCTGGTGTGACCACCAGTGCAAAGCACCCTGAGGGATAAAGGGACTGAGAGCATTGGCCCTGGAGAGAAGTCTATGTCCACCTGCCAGAGCCCGCTGCAATCCAGACACACAAGCTGTAAAAAAACAAGGGAGGGAGTGGAAGGGGTGGTTAGTGATGCTTTCAATCTACGGAGGAAGAGTGGTGTTAAAGAGTTTAGTTCATCAGAATCAGCATTTCCTAGTACGAGTCAGTGTCAGTAGCTAAAGAAAGAAGACCATTATGAGTGGGTGGGGAGGGTCCATGCTCAGACATGCAGCATGTGCACGTGCACAGAAGGGGCATGGCGGGACAGGGGCATCTCCTTACATACATGCTGGTGGGCAGCAGTCCCATTAATACAGAATCCTCAGGAGCTCAGGGACCCAACCATGGACCTGTGGCATCCGGAAGGGAGCTGAGCCCTACCACGATATAATGCCACGACTGGGGCCAGGGACTTGTGTAGCGGATGCATCTGGAGCTCACCGTAGGGAGCTTCTCTCATCATCGGAGGGCAGGTGTCTGGCTCAGGGGACTCAAGAACCAAGCGGCTCAAAACAGGGTCTGGGCTCAGTGCTTGTGGGAACCTCCCTTTCTTTGCCGAGTGACCCTCCTTCCCTCAGAGTTGCTGGAACATCTAGCATGTGCTGAGCACTTCCCAAGAGCAGAGGAAATATTGGATTTCATCATCAGCTTGGGGGGGGCGGGTGTTACAACCTCCTGCTGGTAGAAGCTTAGACTCCCATGCGGTCAGAGCCGAACTGTGCCCAGTCAGACTTCCAGTGCCAGCATTTTTGGAAGCAGATTGCCAGACGTTTCTTCCGAGGTGCCCCTGGGTGGACCTGAACCCTCCAGCCATTCGGTCAACAGCGAGACGCCACTGTTGGCACTCCCCAGGCAACTCTAAGTCCTTTCAGAGACCCAGAGAGAGGAGGCAGTAGGTGCCTGGAACTGAGCTCTAGGTCTCTCTCCCACAGACAGACAGCTCTGGTGTGCTCTGATCTCACCATCCTCTTAAATTCCATTCTGAAAGGCCATTTCCCTCCCACCCCCGCGCCCAATAGTCAAATGCTCTGTCCTCAGCCATGGACAAGCACGGAGACCCTCAGGCACAGCTGGGAACATGGTTTGATGAGGGGTCATCATGGCTTTGGAATCCTATGAGGCTCGTCGTGGGGTTTTAGGACCCGCGATAGGTTTTCATGACAGTCCACCATGACGGCGTGTTTCTAGGGTAACTGTAGGAAACATTTCAAACACTTTTTGCCCCGTGTACCATTTCTAGAAGCATCTCTCCTCAGAGGCGTGAGGCAGTTTCTGCCCTGCTAGCTGTGTGCTTGGCTTTGATCCGAAGGATGGCCCATCGGCAATGACAAAGCTTATCTTAACAAAGAAGCGAAGGGGTGTCAACCCCATCTCTGCCCCCCATTCATGAGGCGCCACCGTCCTCGGGTGGGCTCTATCTCGAAACAGCCCTATAGGGCAGGGCACCGTTTCCGAGGCTGTAACTCTGCAGGAGTAGGCAGCTTCGTCAGTCTCTCATTGGACATCTGATGGGTTTGAACTGTCAACCTTGCACCACCAGGGATCCTTGGAAACCTCATAAGGGTTCCCATTTTCTTTGCCCTAAGACTCATAGCTTAAGATAGCAGTTTAAAAGGTGGGCCATAGTTCTTAAGAGCCGACAGATGCATCTGCTGGTCCCTTGCTTTGGGAAGATTCCCACGTTGTTACCCAAGATGTAGATATCAAATATAATTTACTTTCGGGAAAGGAGGGCAATTGGCACCCCAGTCCTGAGCCCAGGGGTCTGGTTGTAAATGGGACTGCACGGGGTTGGGGGGGGGCGGGGAGAGGGCAACGTCTGCACGCAGCCAGCGATGGTGACGGGCGTGGGGGGTGGGGAGGGGCCAGCAGGCAGGGGGTGCACACCACGTTCACACACATGGGGCGCAGAGAACAAAAGGACAGGAGGGGGGCAGAGCACACATGTGAGACGAGCCGCGGATGGTTTTGCTCATGTGGATGTCGCCCAATCAGTTCTCAGAGGAGGGAGGCCAAACAGGGGACCCCCTGCATGCACCGCACACCGGGAGGTTACTGGTGTTAGTTTCAATGCAGCCCGTCCGTCTCCTCGGCTGAGACTTGGCTACCAACTACCAGTCCTAAGAGATGGGGACAGGGGCCGATGCCCGGGGCGAGTTGATTTCTCTGGGGGAGGACGCCAGCTGAGGCTTCCTCATCTCTGTACTTGGCAGACGAGGTATGTTGGAACAAGGTTGTGACAGTCACAATACGAACTAATTATTTTGTCACTGCTCTGCGCTTCATTAGACTGTAATTTTATTTCTTTTGCTGCAAAGGTCAATCACACGCTTCTTGATTACACAGAGATCCCCAGTCCGGTAACTGCTAAGTGACATTTGCCCTGGGTTTTGGGGGGCATTTTTTGCCTTCCTCCCCCTCCTTCTGCCTAGGGGAGGGTCACTCCTGAAAAATGACCCTTGGGCAGCCATGGCCAAGCTCCTCCTTCAGTCTCTTTATTCCAGACAGCTCTCCAGCTGCGTGAGTTTGGGGAAGGTGTCTCATTGGTTTTGAGCAAATTCAGCCTTTGCTATCGTTCAATCGCTCGCTGTGGCTTCCGGTTGTCCTCAACAGACACCATGATCAGTGGCGTGGGACTCCGGTTAGAGCGACCCTGGTTTGTAGAGGGCTGGACACAAGTCAGTAACAAGGCTATAGAGCTAATTTACAAGAAACCTGCTTTCTGGGGCAAGGATTCTTATGACGAGTCTGGAAAAAAAAAAATCAGGGTTTGCAAACTATGCGTTAACAGAATTGGTCTTACGGAAGATCAGCGTCTGTCTGAGTGTTTTGGATTCAAAGTATCGAACCTGAGGCTTCCCTGGGATCAAATTGTCCTGCGAAGACCGCAGGGAATGAAGGGGCTGCCTGTGAAGCTGGCAGAAGCAGGCCTCAAGTGGCTCCCTTGGGACATTTGAGACGGGAAGGACCCAACGGGCCGGGCGGGGTCCCAGATTTATTTCACTAATCAGAACAAAGAATTTTACCTTCTGTTCACCAGCGTGGACGACATCATCAGCACCATGCAAGCCACATGACAAAGTCACATGATACGCACGCACATGATTGGTTGAAAGGAAAGTGGAGGAGGTCACATGGAAAATACAAAAAAATTAAAAACGGATGTGAACAATGGGCAGGGAGCAACATCAACAACCAAATCACAGACTGGATAAAAGGAGAAATCAAAATTAAATTAGCAGCATATACGAGGGAACACGGGGAGGACAGTGCAACTGCCTGGAAAGAGAAGAAGAATAAATCTTAAAGAGCATTTGGTTAACCACACCAGTAAGCGTTAGCTACAGCTGCAACACTGCATATTAATACCACATCAAGGGTGGGGAGGGGAGGGGGGCAGGTAGACATTGTTGGTTTTGTTTTGTTTGGGGAAACGGGGAGGTATTTCTGCTGGCACTCCGAGTCAATCCGGGAGCTGTGAAAGGAAGGGGGACGGAATAAGTTAATATTCGCTGCTTCCAGAAACCGCTCCACATCCTTGGAAACCGGGGCAACAGAACAGCGCATGGGCCATCGAGAGAAAGTCCCAGGATTGTATACAGTGCACACTGTTCCCTGGAAGAACAAAAGACCACATTACAGTCAAAAAAGAAAGCGGGTGGGGTGGGGAAGCATGTTGTGTTTCCTTTGGCGCAATGGGGAGAGCGAACAGGAGCTGAGTGATGCTTGGCGGGCAGGGGGCCCTGACAGTCGGCCTGACCATCTCTCCTTCCTTCTTGACCCCTCCCCCACGTGATCCCTGGCCCGAGAACACAGCAAGCAGAGACGCAGGAAAGAGCTTTCCTTCTGGAGACCGAGGCAGCGGCTCTGTCCACAGGGAGCAGCAGAAATGGTGGCCCTGGGCCACCGAGCTGAGGGTCTGACATCGCTAAATAGATAGACGCAAGGTGAATTCGCCCTTTGACTTGCACCTGTGCTGATGGGGCAGAGGTTGCCGATTTACAAAGCAAACCAACAGTGGTCCTTGTTTGGTTTGATCCGTACATCCCCATGAGCCGTCGACTGATTACATGCTCACGTGCTACCTGGGGACGCTGCCACGCCGCGCTGAAAGGCCTTGAGGCTGCTCCCCTCTCTTCCAAGGCCAGGGGACAGTATGGCGGTGACCGTGTGAAGCGAAGGAGAAGGGTGAAAGACAGAGGTGAAGATACCTTTCTGTCCAAAGATCACCCCTGTTTGGAAATGATCCAAGAGGCAAGCTTGAGCCAAGTGAACCTGGGCGCGGGGAGTTAATGAGCGAGGTGCTTTACACTGTGAGACAGGACACAGGCCATGGAAGGTTCCTAACAGGCTTGCCCTGCATGCACTACGTAAAATTGAGCATTCTCTGTTGTTTTTCATTGGAAAAATTTTATTACTACTTTATCATCATAAACTGACAAACCAACCAAGCCATCAAACCTCAAGTAAAAACAGAGCAATAGAAACAAAAACCCACATGCACACACACCAACATAAGCAAAAAACTGGAGCTCTGACTTCTTTTCAAGCTTATTGATTGATTAATGATAGAGGCTCATGGCTACTCTGTTATTCATTCCGCTGCCGTTCTTGTGCGCTGGTGTTTGCCTGCCTGTTGAAGACAGAGCAAGTCACATCCAGATTGCTACTCAGTTGGGACTGACTCTCCCTTATCTAAGGAACCCTGTCTAGGAAGTATTGGGCTACTAATCGCAAGGTCGCTGGTTCAAACCCACCAGCTGTTCCTTGGGAGAAAGATGAGGCTAATTGCTCCCATAAAGATTGATGGTCTTAGAAATCCTATATGAGACATAAATGGCTTGATGGCAGTGGATTTTCTTTTTTTGGTTGCTTTATCTGAGAAAGGCTGATAGTGTCATGGTTCAAGTGTGTGGGTGCTAGCCACAAGGTTGGCAGCACGAGCCCACCAGCCACTCCTTGGGAGAAGGTGGAGGGAGGCTGTCTGCTTCAGTAAAGATCACAGCCTTGGAAATGCCCCGGGGCAGGCGGTTCCCCGGACTGCAAGGTCACTAAGATTCAGATTCAACTCTCTGACTGCGGCCTCTTCAGTTTTCTTTCACCTCAGCAGTGACCAGGACCAACGACTTGGGTCAAGGGTTCATTTAAAAAACAAAACAATCCAGACTCAAATGTTCTTCTCTTCTGGGGCCACAACTAGGGCTCTTTATTTGTGGGAGGCAAGGCCTGAAACTTTAAACACGAACGACATTTCAGGAGAAGAAACGTCTAATTCCCTTTTAAGAAGGAAAAACAAACAAAAACAAACCTGGGTCTGACCTGGGGTCTCCCTGCCAAAGGAGACCCAGCCCCCAACGGAGCACCCCCTTGATGAGACAAGCTGTGCAAACGCACCCCGCAGCCTGCTTCTGTGTGCCCCCACGAGGGAGCCACTCTGCTCGTCTCAATGTGAGGGGGAAATCCCCACAAAATGTACAATCCTGTCCTCAGAACTGAACCCCTGTGAGCACACCCTGCCCCCACCCCCTTCGTCTCTGGCTCTGTTCTACTGACCAAATGAAACTTCAGAAGCATCAGGAAATTTACACACACACACACACCCCACCACCATCACCACCAAGAAGGCCGGCCAGGACCTAGGGTCGGCAGCAGCCAAAGCAATTGTTTCATGCCACACACAAACCCCAACAGCTGGCTCTTTCCCCTTGTTCCAGTGGTGTGTCAGAAACCTCGGCCCGAGGCGTGTGAACTGCATTTGGCTTCTCTGCTCTCTGCCTGCGAGCTCTGGCTACTGCCCAGTGGGATGCATGCCTATTAGGTACCCAGAAAGAGGGTAAAATCTACAGCGCCCAGGGAGCTTTGGTGATGCAATGCTGTAAGCGCACACAGGCACAGGCACACACACGTGCATGCGCGTGTGCTCGGCCACGTGACGTATCAGTAACTTGTCAGTAAGCACACATGCTCAGTCTGTTAGAGTTACGATGATGGAGTCAGTGGGCCTGGCTCTAGGCTCAGGTGGGGAAATGGAGTCAGTTCCCAGGCGACAGGCCGTGCCTGGGCCTGGCTGGCCAGCCTTGGCTTTTCTAGCCAGCATCCAGGCCTGATGGAGGAGGCAGCACGTCTCCTTCCTGCCTGTGCTCTGGTCCTGGCGAGACAAAGGAGCTCAAAGCAGCTCTCTCTTTTGCATTCTCCCTTCCACCCAAGCAGCCACAGCCCTCTACTTCTCCCCCTGTCCTCTGTCTTGTGGCTATTTCTGCCCTAGCCTGTGTGCCTGCGTGTGTGTGGCCACGTGTGTTGTACAGAAGAGGGAGAGCCAAAGCCGGCAGGCAGCGTGATGCCGTTTCTCCTTCTCCATTTTCCCCCCGATCCATTTCTATTTTTAACTCCAGAGTCAATTTGGAATTTACTCGCGTGTCGGGTTTCCTTCAAAGAACCACCCTGGCCCTCTGAATGGTGCCTGGCGCTCTCTCTTGGCCAAGGAGGCAGCATGCTTACGGTTACACACCAGGCCCGGAGCCTTCATGCATTTGTGAGTGTCGCTTTGAACAAAAGGGAGAACCGGGGCATGTCTGTGACCAGCAGCCGGCTCTGCACCCAACAGCCAGCAGCATCCTGGCCCCAGCGCTATACTCACTGGGTGCTTCTGCGGTTGTCAGGGCAGGTAGAGGCCAGGTTGCTATGGAAACATGAAGGGCAGAAAGGGCACAGAGAGTTGAAGGGAGAGTAGAAATAAATGAAATTCATTAAATTTATACAGAGCTGTGGCTCTTTGTGGTTTTTACTAAAGGCGTCATCAGAAAGAGAAGACAAGGGATGCGGGAGGAAGATACAAGGGGGCTTCTTGAAGTTCATGAAGAAAAATTCCACTGTCTTCTAACCCCCCCCCTTTTCCACGAACTTTTTGAACCCCCCTGGTCTTCTCTCATTCGTTCCCTCCTTTGCTTTGTCAGTGCTCTAGTCTCTGTTTTAAAGAGATAGGATGAGTGATTGTGCTGGCAAATTACTCTCACACAGCAAGATGTAGCATAACCCTCATTTCTTGTTACTGAGAATTAGGGCCACAGCACGCTGGGAACTGTGCGTGGTTGTCTTTTATCTTTAATCTTTAATTTTCACAAACACCTGCAAGGTGGGTGGGGCTTACTCCCCATTTTAGAGGAGAAATCTGTGGTTTGGGAGGGTGAGTGGCTGATACAAGGCCAGGGGACGCTATGTAGGATGCTATGTATGGCCAGGCGGGGATGTGAACGCAGTTCTATCTGCTTC